CCCCCCGCCCCCCCCCCCCCCCCCCCCCCCATTTATTGATTGAAAGCTCTCCTGTCCCCATGTTGAGAGAAATCGGGAGGAAGATGTTACTTTAGTTCTAGACTAAATGTGAACATGCATTAATTCATCTCACTCACTCACAAAAAAAACAAGTTTTCCTCAAAAATAATAAAATTAATAAAAACAACTCAGAATATGATGCAATAATTAAATATGTTAAACAATACAAATATGCTTTATGTATTTAATCCCATTTTATTAACCAGTGTCTTTGCTGCTGACCTTCGATGATCCAGTTCATACTAAGCAAAAATTACTCTAGACAAACTAACATTTGTTCTTTATTTTATTGCTGAAGAGTGTTGACCTTTCTTCTTCTGAATTCTACTGTACAGACGTGAATTTACATTTCCTTCAGCCTGAGGCTTTTGGTGTGAAAGGGCTTTTATATTTGCCAAAAATAGAACTTTTTATATTAAAACCAAACAAGCAAGCCCTGCCGAGATTTAAAAAGTAATGCAAAAATAACGCATTTCTTTCCATAAAAAGTAACTAAGTAACGTAATTAGTTACTTTTTTAGGGAGTAACGCAACATTGCAATGCATTACTTTTAAAAGTAACTTTCCCCAACACTGTATATGAGTATGCTTTTAATATGTGTGTTTACAATACATCGATGAAGAAATGACACCCACCATTATATACACAACCTCTGAGGGCTTGATGTGAGTTTTGTAATTATCGAAAACAAAAGAGCTCCATGTATTCAGAACAAAACAAACACGGCTCTATATACAGCGAACCTGTCTGTCTTTGTTCTTGTTCTTAAAAGTTCAACTCAGTTCAACATGACTTGTGTAGTAAAGATCTATGTGACATTATATTAAACCAGTGGTTAGCTCTAATAGAAAACAGACATGGAATATTTTGGTTTGACCTTTTAACTTGGTTCCAATTGCTGGTTTAAGCGGGTTCACACATGCTTTGTAAGTTGGGAACATGAGTATTGTCTGTACACAATTATTATGTGAAACAGGAGAACAGGTGGTGCAGGTTCAGTGCCTTATCATGACCGAAAAAGACAGAGAATGTGAATTATTGTATCGTATTTGATATTGATTAAGCACACTGATATTGATTAGCCAGACAAACTCAGTCCCAAGTTAAAAGTCTTGCATGGCATTTTATTGCATGAGTACAGGACTTGTTTTTGGGCACTCAGTGGATTTTCTGGTAGTGTCTATCTGTTTTCATAATGTAATTCAGAGAATGTTCCTCCAATTTTGACATTCTCAAGCCATCTTAGAGCAAATGTGAAATTCAGAGGTCCAAAGTTTCTTTCCCTAAACAATATTTGTAGCATAACATGTTACAACATGTCCTAAGAAGATGTGAACCAACAAGTAATTTGTCTGTCCTGAATGTGAAAGTGTTTAGTTTTGTAGTTTAATATACAGTTCTGCCAAGCAGAACAGGATTTGGACCAATGAAGGTTCACTGTGGGCGATGACTCCTGTTGCTTATTGTGGAATTTACTTGGAAGAGAAGGTTTTATAAAGTCATTTTATCAAGGACCAATGTTAGTGTAGTAATACCTTGCTTCACTGCACTCAGTGGATTTTCTGGTAGCGTCTATCTGTTTTCATAATGTAATTCAGAGAATGTTCCTCCAATTTTGACATTCTCAAGCCATCTTAGAACAAATGTGAAATTCAGAGGTCCAAAGTTTCTTTCCCTAAACAATATTTGTAGCATAACATGTTACAACATGTCCTAAGAAGATGTGAACCAACAAGTAATTTGTCTGTCCTGAATGTGAAAGTGCCAAGCAGAACAGGATTTGGACCAATGAAGGTTCACTGTGGGCGATGACTCCTGTTGCTTATTGTGGAATTTACTTGGAAGAGAAGGTTTTATAAAGTCATTTTATCAAGGACCAATGTTAGTGTAGTAATACCTTGCTTCACTTAAGGTTACTCATTAACACGTTCTGTAGAATGTTCAACACAAAATTCTACATTCTACCGAAGATTGGTAAAAAAAAATTTTTTGAAAACATTTGTTCATACTCTCCTGAAGAAACACATTGGTTGAGTTTTAATGAAATTCCTGCTAAAAATGTGTCCTGTTCATGCCTCAGTTTTGTCTTTTTTTTTCTGTCCGGTTTAATGACAAGACAACAGGAAGCTGCAGTCTTCTCAGTTTCTTAAAGGACAAGCTCCAGCAACTGGTTATCATCCAGCAGGTCCAGAGATAGGCAGTTCGTGGAGCGCTGGACACAGAATGAAGTACTGTCTGGACATGGACTCGTTGAGGAGTGCGGAAGCCCAAACGTGTAGCTGACGGATGTGTCTGGAACCGATGCCGTTCCCAGAGGGAGAAGGGGGGAATACAGTCGCACGTCGTCCAGGCTCAGACTGTAGCGGTCGGCCGGGTTACGACCCTTCTGATTGGAAACCTGTAATGGGTGATGAGAGCAATTAGTGACATGATGAAGGAATGAAAAGTGAAAGACTGAAGAAGACAGAGATGGCAAACCTGTTTCATGCTATCTGGATCACAATGGTCCATTTGATCGTTCCCTGTAATACACAAAATTCTACATTCTACCGAAGATTGGTAAAAAAAAAAATTTAAAAAACATTTGTTCATACTCTCCTGAAGAAACACATTGGTTGAGTTTTAATGAAATTCCTGCTAAAAATGTGTCCTGTTCATGCCTCAGTTTTGTCTTTTTTTTCTGTCCGGTTTAATGACAAGACAACAGGAATCTGCAGTCTTCTCAGTTTCTTAAAGGACAAGCTCCAGCAACTGGTTATCATCCAGCAGGTCCAGAGATAGGCAGTTCGTGGAGCGCTGGACACAGAATGAAGTACTGTCTGGACATGGACTGGTTGAGGAGTGCGGAAGCCCAAACGTGTAGCTGACGGATGTGTCTGGAACCGATGCCGTTCCCAGAGGGAGAAGGGGGGAATACAGTCGCACGTCGTCCAGGCTCAGACTGTAGCGGTCGGCCGGGTTACGACCCTTCTGATTGGAAACCTGTAATGGGTGATGAGAGCAATTAGTGACATGATGAAGGAATGAAAAGTGAAAGACTGAAGAAGACAGAGATGGCAAACCTGTTTCATGCTATCTGGATCACAATGGTCCATTTGATCGTTCCCTGTAACTGAACTCATTTGTAGACCTGGAAACAGATGTTACAGTAAACAGGATCAGATTTATATTCTCATCAAAGACTACAGGCAAAATATTGATTTACTGTATTTCAAAATTGTCAAAAAACTACATTTATGCTTTAAGACCTAATGCACAGATACAATATTCTGACACACTGATTTCTGGTCCCATCTGTTTACATTCAATTTATACATTGCCGTTCAAAAGTTTAGGAAATAAATTAATACTTTTATTCAGCAAGGATGAATTCAATTGATCAAGTGACAGACAAGACTTATATATCGTTACAAATTTTTTTTTTTTTTAAAGCTGTCTTGAAAATCTTTATAAACATTTTTTAAAAAGTATCATGGTTTCCACAAAAATATTTAGCAGCACATCTGTTTTAAATAAATAAAAATAATAATTTATTAAGTAATAAAATCAGCATATTAGAATGATTTCTGAAGGATCATGTGACACTGAAGACTGGAGTAATGGCTGCTGAAAATTCAGCTTTGCATCACAGGAATAAATTACATTTCAAAATATATCACAAAAGGAATACAGCTATTTTTAATTGTAATATTTTACACTGTTTTCACTGTTTTTACTGTATTTTTATCAAAAAACTTCAGCCTTGATAAGCACTTGGTTTTAGAGTTCTTTCAAAAGCATTAATAGCAAATAAACATTAATCGCATGACAATTGCTAAATAATATTATATATAAATCATACAATTAAAATATATCATAATATAATCATATAAAATATATAATAATAATCAGCACCATAATAAATTATTCTATATAATTATATTAATCTTGCACTAGTCGCTCACTTGCCAGTAGTGGTATGCAAGCACTTTCTCCATGTTAGTAACTTTATTTTTATGTTACGCAACAATGAAAAATAAAAAATGAAAGAATTGGTTACAAATGAATCAGAAACAGATCAAATAATGTAGATCAGTTTTCAGACTGGATGTGTCAGATGTGGAATTGTTTGAAAGTGACCTAATTCGGATTGTTTTGTGAGTCATCACCTTTAAATTCAGTGTCTGATTGGATGGTGGGACAGTCAACCAATCGCAAGATATCCACAGGGTCGTCCACAGAGACCTCCCCGGGCTCCTTCACCACATCCTGCAAATCTACATTGAGATTTCATCACAAACTGTCCATCATGGGCTATTCTGTACTTAACCTTGTCAAAAATCTAACGTGGTGACAAAACATTTTGTCTTTCATTGTCAGTGCGAACGTGATATTTTGCAAGTCAAGCTGGCTGAGCAAATAGACTAAATAACTTCAGAACAACCTCTATAGCTTCACCTACATCTTTCTAGCATTACATATGCAAGGAATCCCAGCCATGTCTATCTGTCAGCACACCATGTCAAATTGATGAGCGGGACATTTTATACTGTTGCAAAACATCTGCAAAAGTATTTTATTAAATATCACTAAAGTTGTTTGATCCTCACCTTCCTCCTGCCACTCGTCTTCATCAGTCTGAGCTTTGCTGCTCGTGTCGATGTCAGAGGTGTGTGAGGAGCCGTGACTGACAGCAGAGATGAAGGACTTTTCCTTCTCCTCCATGGAAACCATCTCTACGGAGACGCTGTGTTGCCTGGTGTCCGCCTCAATGCCAGAGCTGCTGGTGGAGTGTCGAGACAGACGGGGACTGCCCTCGCTGCACGGCTGATCCAGGTCTAGCTCATCACTGATGTACGATTCACGGTACCTCTTCTTCTCTGGATCCGAAGATGGAGAAAATAATGTTTTGTCAAAAACAGCCCGATGTGGTACAATAATTCTGTGACTAATAAGGCTGATTCTAACAAACACTTTAACATATCCAGGTCTTATTTCAACCAAAATTAATGGGGAAAAATATTAATAAACTGTATATTTCAATAGGGTGACCAGACGTCGGTTTTCCGGGGACAGTCCTGGTTTTGGTGGTTTTGTAAAGTCATCATTTTGTTATAATACTGTTTTGAATTTTTTGCTGTTTGCAACAGTTACTATTTTTTATATATATTTTATGTTTATTATATAATACATTTTATTATTTATTATTTTATTATGTCCTCAGTTTCCATTTAAAAAAATCTGGTCACCTTATTTTTCAATTTAAATTATATTTACTTGTATAGTGCTTTTCACAATACAAATCATTTCAAAGCAGCTTTAGAAAAAATGCTTGATTCAAATATTGTGATCAAGAAGCCAAAGGTCACTAGCTATGTTTCCATCACTCTGTTTTTATGTGAATTTTGAAGTATCGCATCAGAAACAAAACATACTACAAACAAGGGGGAAACAAAATCATACTACAAAAGCAAGCATGTAGGGCCTGTAGATGAATATTGTGTGGACACACACCCTCTGACTCCTCAAGCTGCCGCAGGTGTTTGAGCGCAGGTTGCAAACTGAGGTACAATCGGTGACAGGAACTTAAATGCAGCAGAAGATGTCGGGAACGAAAAGCCGAACCCGTGTAGTACACCAGCTTTCTCGCAGAGGGCAAACCATCGGGCTGGATCTCAAACTTCTTCCCCTGTGCAGAGAAGACAGAAGACAGAACCTCTGTATTTGTAAAAAGTAACTTTTAATGTCAGAGCAGGTGATCAAGCACCACAATTCAAATCACTTCATGGAGTTCAGATAAACCAACCCAAAATGACTTGGAATGAGGGAGAAACAGTGAGGTCTGGTGTGATCTAATAATGTAAAAAGCCGTAACATTAAATGTTACCAGAAAAGTGAGTCGTCCCACGTGAAACCAGGGGAAGTCATACAGCAGATCACGCACATTGTTCACCTCCTGCAAAATAAAGAAAAAAAAGGCCTCTGTCACATGAAATGGTCAACTCACAAGTAAAAATGGGAATTGTTAGAAAATGAAATTGCTCAGATTCTGAATGGTTCAGGTTCCTTTATGATTCCATTACAGATTATTTTATTACTTTTGAGAAATCAAAATAATTGGTGCTAATTATGTACTTAATAAATGCAATAAAAATATTAGTTTTATTTATTTAAAAAAAACTTAAGAGCATTTAGATTTTTTATTTTTTTTTATTTTGATTTTACAATAATATTTATATTAGATAACAAATATTAATATTTATATTAGAAAAACTGTGCCTTAAAGGATTAGTTCACCCAAAAATGAAAATTAGGTTGTCTTTTACTCACCCCCCGAGGCATCCTAGGTGTATATGACTTTCTTCTTTCAGACGAATCCAGTCGGAGTTATATTAAAAATTGTCCTGGCTATTCCAAGCTCTATCGTTGCACTCAGCGGGTGTTGCAGTGCTTCAGCACCCATCCATAAAAAAAAGTGTCTCACACGGCTCCGGGGGGTGAACAAAGGCCTCCTGTAGCAAATCGATGCATTTTTGTAAGAAAAATATCCATATTCAAACGTAATAATGACTTTAATCTAGCATGCGTCAACAGTTGTACACGGATACAGCTCCGGGCGGATGACATATGAGGTCAGCATTGCGCATGCGCTGGTGAGTCTCGTTAAAACCAACGTTTGTTAACAGGAGCAAAGGAAGCAAAGTTTCCTTACTTTAGCGAAGGAAAACCAGTCTCCTCATGGCTTATATCGAAATCCTCTGACATTCTTCTTTACAAATCCTTGTTTTGTGCTTATAATTAGTGACCGTTGTTTTGTTTTGATCTCTCCCCTGCGCTTCCGCATTCATCAATTCTGAGGGGCGCATGCGCAGTGCTGACCTCATACGTCATCCGCCCGGGACTGCTTCACCCCCGGAGCCGTGTGAGACACTTTTTTTTATGGATGGGCGCTTTTTATTTCACTTCTTTTGGACTGAAACCCTGCATCACCCACTGACTGCAACGATAGAGCTTGGAATAGCCAGGACAATTTTTAATATAACTCCGACTGGATTCGTCTGAAAGAAGAACGTCATATACACCTAGGATGCCTCGGGGGTGAGTAAAACACAACCTAATTTTCATTTTTGGGTAAACTAACACTTTAAGTACACACAACATTTTTATAGAATTTTATAATTTGTTATTCTAATACAAATAATACACGGTTCATTCCAACCAAAATGATTCAGGCTAAGTTTACACTAGTGCGTTTTCGTTTTAAAACGCATAACTTTTGCTACGGTTACGCCTGTCGTTTACTCTACTTCAGCATTTTCGTCCCTCGAAAACGGAGACTTTCGAAAACACTACAGACCCCGTTTTAGTTTGAAAACCCCAGGGTTGCATTTCAGTGTAAACGGACCAAAACGGAGACTTTTTAAAACGATGGTGTGGCTGCCAACATTCTCTCTGCGTATCCTTGATGACCGTGTAAACAATAACATCATGCTCATTGTTGTACCTGCATGAATGGTCATGTGACATGCGTTTTCGGTTGTGTAGTGTGGACGGAGATCGTTTCTGAAACGTAGTGAAAACGCAAGTGTAGACGAGGATCGTTTTCATTTTAAAACGCCGTTTTAAAACGAAAACGCACTAGTGTAAACAGGGCCTCAGTTCCAGTAGTTTTTTTTTAAATAGACCAACAATCAGATCTCCAAACCCTACTTGCTACAAAACTCACTTCCACAAATCATTTGTTAGATCGTTTGTAATATAAGCTTATTTGGCAGTGTGAGAAAGGAGTAAAATATAAATCCTGTTCTTTATCAATGCAGAAGGGGAGCCCATTTAAGGTTGGGGTCAGGGCCTCACCACACTGGGTCTTTGATCTCTTAGACACAGGGCCCTCAGTTTAATCCAACCCCGGACGCTTTAACGGGCAGATCAGAGGGCTCAGGGGAAAGGCATGCACTCCAAATCCCTGTTTATGGACTGAACCGTCTAATATATGCATTCCAGTCAGGCCTATCTGGAGCTCAATCATTGTGATTGGCACCGGCTCAAAGAGAAAACACAAGGACTGCACAACAAAGTAGGCTGTTCACACATGCTTTGCAGCAAAAAGCAACCACAAGTTCATAATTTTCAATGAGGGCTGTCGATTTAATGTGATGTGCAACAACTACTGTTGTGATGTTGCTGTGTCCAGTTTTTTTGCACTGCAGCAAATTATATACAAGAAGGGGTTTTCCCTATTTGTAGTGGAAAGAAAAATGCCTCACGCATTCTGATACACACACCTGATACACTTGCATTCCTCGTAGAGTGAGTCCAAGGAGTGCTGAACCTTTCTCTTCTTTCTTGTCCTACAGGAAAGAGACACAGGCTTATTAACACACTTAATAATATCTAATATTGCATATATACAAAACAATAATAATTTTGACATTAAAAATACTAATTATATTACATATGAATACAATTATTCAAATCTATATTATATGCACACACAAAACTGAAAGTTTGGGGTCAGTAAGATTTTTTTTTTTATATATATAAGTTTCTTATGCTCACCAAGGCTGCATTTATTTGATCAAATGCACAGTGATATTAAAATATAACTAAATAATATCTAATATCTAAAATAACTGTTACAATTTAAAATTCCTGTTATGATACATTTTCAGAAACCTTTTCTACAGTCTTCAGTGTCACGTGATCCTTCAGAAATCATTCTAGCATTGGTTGAGCTGCTGTTGTAATATTACTCAATCAAGCAGAATGCAGTTCCATCAGGTGCCACTAGTAGTGCAGACATTACTTCACCTTTAACTTCTACGTTGATGGAAATATTTTCAAAACCTCCCTACATTCCACAGCTGAGAATGTCTTGACCTACAGAAAGACATTCTGATAACCGTGCTTGACTTCTGACCTTCTGTAGGCGATAAAAGGTGACTGGAACATCCTCCAGACGGCAAGATTCTCTGATAAAGAGCAGGATAGCGTCACGTGAGGACATCCCCCACAGCTCTTTATGAACCTTGGGCCCATGACACAGCAGGTAGTCATTGCCACGCTTCGCAATTATCTATAAGAGAGCAGACACGGGTCATGCGTGATTATGAAATGAGTGTGGGCTCTCACCATGCTTTATTAGACTCACAAAAACTTTAATCAAACCCCTGCTGTAAAAACACAACAAGAATTTGCTGGTTTGGTGCTTTTCAAAAAATGCTAGTCATTCAGCATGGCCTTCTGGTGAAGCTGGTTGTCCAAGAAAGTCTTGTTATTTAAAAACCCTGGTGAGGATACCAGCATACAAGCATCCAAAATACAACAAATTCTGGACTTTTCAACTTAAAACAAATCTTACTACGAGTAAGTAAGTAAGCACTGCCTGGTTGGATGCAAATGTATGTGATTGTATTTTATACACTCTAATGAAGATTTACCCAGGGTGGAAAGTATTCTTTGGGTTGGAAATACGCAGCATGTCCCTGACTGTGGTCGGAGTGATCGGCCTGTAGGGCGTATCCTGCCAGCTGGAAATACACTTCCTCCTGCTGTCGGCATTCTGAGCGCAGGACACGTTCCCGTAGATCATAGTAGTACAGTTTTCTTGCTTTACGCTCACTGAGAACATAGAAAAAGTGTATGAGAAAAATATGAATATCAATTTTTGGTAAGAATTATTTTCTATTTATAACTCTATTCCAAATAAATCCTGTTCTTTTGAACTTTCTATTCATTAAAGAATCCTTAAAAAATGTATCACTGTTTCCACAAAAATATTAAGCAGCACAACTGTTTTCAACATTGCTAATAATAAGAAATGTTTCTTGAGCAGCAAATCAGCGTATTTGATTTCTGAAGGATCATGTGACACTGAAGACTGGAGTAATGATGCTGAAAATTCAGCTTTACCATCACAGAAATAAATTACATTTAAAAGTATATTAAAATAGAAAGTGTTTTTTTATTGTAATATTTCACATTATTACTGTTAAAGGCTCATGAAACCCCCTCCACTCTGCATCGAAAACATTTATATAAACGCGCTGTTGCACCTCTGAGAACTTTTAAGGCTTATTCTGTGGTGTTTATATAAGCCTTTTGATGGGTTGTGTCACAGAGCTGTAAAAACGATTATGCTGACCAAGTGAATGAATCGCGTTTGTGCCGAACTCTTATTACAAAGCAAAAACAAACACTCTTCGATCCATGAACGTTTCTCTCAGTTAATGTGCGCGATGTCATCTCACAGTCTGAAACGTCTGTCATAGCAAATCAACACATGTATGCTGTTGTGAATAATTAAGCAAAGCATATTCTCATAGGATAAGAACACGCAGTCTCATGAATAATTTAATAGACACCGCGTCATCGATGTACTATATTCCATTGCCACGTCACAAATTGTGACGTCAACACCATGTAGATTTTAAACCCGGAAGAAGAAAATAGCGCAAAAAAGCTTAAAGGGGTCATATGATGTTGCTAAAAAGAACATTATTTTGTGTATTTGGTGTAATGAAATGTGTTTATGTGGTTTAAGGTTAAAAAAACACATATTTTCCACATAATGTACATTATTGTTTCTCCTCTATGCCCCGCCTTTCTGAAACGCGTCAATTTTTACAAAGCTCATTGTTCTGAAAAGCGAGGTGTGCTCTGATTGGCCAGCTATCCAGTGTCACGTCAAAGAGTCACAAGCGAGATGAAAACAATATAAGCAATTTACTGAATGAAACAAGGCAAACGTTTCGGTCACATGTTGGCCATTTTCAATGCCAAGCTGACAATGTTAGAACTAGGAGCGTCCTCAGCGACCAGCACGGATCAGCTCTAGGCATGAGGAAGCGGATATCGTCCTCTTTTGGAAGGCCAAACAAAGTAGTTTCGCTTTCACAATGAAACACACAGCATCTCCACAACATGGCGGCGGCAATAATACTACAGCGAGAATAAAAGTTACGCCTTCTTTCTTAGCATGAACATTTGAGCGGTATTATGCAAATCTTCCCACACGACAAAACCAATAAAACCCATTACAAACGAGGAATTTGTAGCATCCAGTGGAGACATAATTACTGATAATAATAACTTATACTGTGTTTTTACGCTTTGCATTGCATATTGCACCGCGTAAACATAAAACCATGTCTGCATTTGTGATCGGAGAATTGACAAACAGCAAGCGCTACTCTACACTGCTCAAACTCGCGTTTGAATCATCAGTGGCAAATTCTTTAAATATAAAAAACGTACTTACAAGCTGTGAGTCAGAAGCGCCAGACTGTCCTTGCAAAGTTGGAACTGCCCCACTTTATAGAAACATGTCCTCTTTTGGAAGGCCAAACAAAGTAGTTTCCCTTTCACAACGAAACACACAGCGGCTTGAGTGAGCGGCGCCCGGCGGATTCGACAAAGGACGCTTGCGGCAACCATCAGTGAAAGCCGATCCGGCGATTGACAGCGCGAAGTTGATGTATTTCCTCAGTGACCGAGAAGCATCCAGAGACTCACCGCGCCTTCAAAATTTCAACTTAAAAAAAAAAGTTTCCCAAAGGTGAAGAGCTTGAAAAAAGTCTGCACACTCACACGTCAAAGAGTCACAAGCGAGATGAAAACAATATAAGCAATTTACTGAATGAAACAAGGCAAACGTTTCGGTCACATGTTGGCCATTTTCAATGCCAAGCTGACAATGTTAGAACTAGGAGCGTCCTCAGCGACCAGCACGGATCAGCTCTAGGCATGAGGAAGCGGATATCGTCCTCTTTTGGAAGGCCAAACAAAGTAGTTTCGCTTTCACAATGAAACACACAGCATCTCCACAACATGGCGGCGGCAATAATACTACAGCGAGAATAAAAGTTACGCCTTCTTTCTTAGCATGAACATTTGAGCGGTATTATGCAAATCTTCCCACACAGTGATGTGGACATGTGGGGGCGTGTTTAAACGAGGCATTTTAGGAGGGCGTGGACAAGTCTTAACTTTTATAAAGGATATCTCTTTGGATTTGAGACTTTACAGATCTTCTTTATGCACCAAGAGCTTGTAACACTCCAAAGAGAAATGAAAAATTGAAATCGCATCATATGACTCCTTTAAAATTAACCAGTTTTCTCCAAAAGTTAAAATTATCGGATGCTATCATTGTCTTCTATGATGTGCAACACAAACACCTCTGCTAAAATCTCAGAAAAAGTTTCTGGGGTTTCATGACCCTTTAACAGCCTTGGTGAGCATGAGACTTCTTACAAAAGCATTAAAACGGCGCCTAAATTTTTAAAAGGTATTGTATATCAAACAGAATTTTTTTTTTTTAAATGAAATGTTTCTAAGAATTCACATCAAGCCTAACTTAAGATTTTAAAATAGAATAAAATAAAAGTAAATTCTACCATCATTTTCTAATTTTAGGTGAACTATATTAATCACGCAAAACTAAATACGACACATAAAAATTAATTTAAAAAGGAATTTAGTGAAAGTCTATCTTCAGTCTATCTTCAAAATCCTCCACTCATTTAATAAAATCTAAAGTTAGGCTGAGTTTCATTATGAGCAGTTTTCAGTGACACCACACCCAGATGAGGGAGGGAAATTCTTCCTAATAAAAACAGCTTTCAAAGATAGACCACATAAAAACCAAGACCACAAGCCCACTCAAACTGGCCTCACCCCCCGGAGGATTAAAACTAATGAAGGAAAGAGGCCAATGAGAGGGTTCCTCCCTTCAAACATTCGGGAATCTCTGGCCCGTTTCTTACCAGATGAGTCTGCCGTTCTCCACATAGTACTGGACCTTCAGACAGAGCAGGGGAGGGATTGACCTCCTCTGTGACCCCTGCTGAGAGAAAGAACAGGCTTGACTAGGTTACTGTGGCAACCCCCTCATTATGAAGTCACTCCCACATCCCGACCGGCCTACTAGTATTTATCTTTACTATCATACTGTAACCGCCCTGATTACCACAGGGAAGATGGAGGACATGGTACAGTGATACTGTGATGGAATGAGTAGAATCACAACGCTATTTATATTTATATGATTATCACATTGATGAACCATGGTATTTACATCTAATGTAAAAGAACACCATGGTACTACCATGATGATAATGCCATAGTTGTTTATACTTTTTGGTACTTTTTTATAGTGTTAATGATGGAGGACCCTGTTATGCTCACCTTCCCTGAGTCCTGTTTCCATTCCTTAGGGAAGTACTTGGCAAGTTTCTCTTCCAAGTCCAGAAAGATGTGCTCATTGTCTAAAACAGTCCAGAAAGAACACACAGGAAGCAAGTGTAAATGCTCTCGGCATGCAAACAATGGCATCATGAATTCATGCATGAAATCTGCCCAACAATGACCTCAATTAGGGAGACGGCTGGAATGAAAAGACCCGTTGAGCCATTGGTGAACGCAGGCCCCGGTATGCAACAGCCCCAACCGCAGACAAAACTTACCCCAGTAAAAACAAGCAGTCTCATGCCAGAGCGATCTGCGATTGCAAAAGAATTCTAGCACTTTGAGTAAATCATGGAAACACTTCTAAAAGGGAGCTTGTGCAATAATGGAATTAAGATGGTTTAAATAAATGTCACAATAGAAAAATTAAAGAAGATTTAGCTAAAACCAAGAAATGGATTTTATTTCCTAGAATGTTAGCACATCCAACTGGTCCATGTGATTTATTTGATTTGTCAATGTGACATCTTTAGTATTTGTATGTAAAGTATAGATAGCAGCACACATCCATTATCTTACATTTGGATAGACACTATAATGTACAATATCAATGCACTGACAGCATCTAAAATGCAAATCATTACATTACTTTACACAATTTCAAGTAACATGATTTAAAAATAGTTTTATAATTTATATAAAGAACAAATATTGCATTATTATTAGAATTAGGATGATTATTATTTCTTCATATATTTGTAAAATAAACAATTGATACATTTAAGTAATTTTTATTTAAAAAATATGTATATGTAAGGTATCATACACATATATTTATACTCTATTACATTCATAATATAGTCCATTATATATACACTTCTGGTCAAAAGGTTGGAATGATTACGATTTTTTTATGTTTTTAAAAGAAGTCTCACAAAGGCTGCATTTATTTGATTAAAAATATAGTAAAACCATAATAATGTGAAATATTATTGCAGTTCGAAATAAATGTATGCTACTTGAATATATTATTTTATAATGTAATTTATTTCTGTGATGGCAAAGCTGAATTTTCAGCATCATTACTCCAGTCTTCAGTGTCACATGATCCTTCAGAAATCATTCTAAAATGCTGACGTGCTGCTCAGGAAACATTTCTTATTATTATCAATGTTGAAAACAGTTATGCTACTTAATATTTTTTGTGGAAACCATGATACATTTTTTCAGGATTCTTTGATGAATAGAAAGTTCAAACGAACAGCATTTATTTGAAATAAAAATCTTCTTCAAGATGCTTTGCTCACAGGTATTGGCTCCTTCATTTTGATTATCTGCAAAAGAACACAAACAAACCAGACTCTCCTTCAATGTAAGTGTATAGGGTTTTATGCCCATCTTATCATCTGCCAGGTGGAGATCATATGTTTGAAAGTAATAGCACTCATATTTCTCATATTTCAAGACACAAAATAAGGCAAAAAAGAAACACTGGGGTAATTAAAATGTCTAGACTGTCCAGAAATGTTGATGAGGTCTGTGGTGGAATATGAGGTTTTATCCTGCTCTCGTATTTCATACAATCTTGTCCCCCAGTTCAATCATGCAATAAAAGCTCATTACATTGCACAATCTGCCCAGTTGAGCCCAGTTGAGTTGATTATATAAACACAATTATGTAATAATTAAATTAATGCTAAACTTGCAGTGAGTCTTGCAGATCCTGTGGTGAGTATTATTGGGTGATGTTATCATGTTTGTGGACCTTCAATTTCCACCTGCTCTAATTTTTTAGTGAACCCAAAACTTCAACATTGTCCTGTTCAGCCCCGGCCTGGCGGCTAATTTGGCCCGATGTCCCAATTTATTTATTTTGTTTGTTATTATTATTATTAATATTTTATATTTATGCCTTCTCAATGTACCAAAGTGATCATTTCCGATTTTTTTCATTCGATAATAAATCGATAGGCCTAATAAATCATAAATTGGTTAGTCTTGACTGTCAGCGCTGCGCAATACGAATCAGCTCACGTGTGTTCCGTGCTTCTATCAAACAGTTCCGAACAGAACCGATGCGTGGGACTCGATTGAAGAGCGAAAGCGGACAGAAGAAGCAGTGAAATGTAGCAACATCACTGACCTGTTCAGGGCTTCGAGTGCAGGTCAGTTTCATCTGTAAATACGCTAGACAGTTTTGTCTTTATTAACCTAGTTGAGTATTAAACTGCTAGTATCTGTAGCACCCCATTATTATCATCATTCAGAAGAATGCTGTGCTAAAGGACATCAATATCAATTGTAAAGTTACATGAGTGCAGGTCAGTTTCATCTGTAAATACGCTAGACAGTTTTGTCTTTATTAACCTAGTTGAGTATTAAACTGCTAGTATCTGTAGCACCCCATTATTATCATCATTCAGAAGAATGCTGTGCTAAAGGACATCAATATCAATTGTAAAGTTACATAAAATAAATTTTGCAGACAGATATTCACATGGATTTATTGTACAGGGAGGGAAGGAGCTAGAGCAGACAGCAACACAAAAATAATATGAGTAACAGGCTCAAAGCCTAATAATTCAATAGTGTATTAGACTTTCAACAAATATATTGTACTAATTTTGACATTTAGGCACTTTAGAAATTGTGTTTTAATACACTAGTCAAAAGGTTTTGATCAGTTATATTTTAATGTTTTTTTTTAAAGAAGTCTCTTCTGCTCACCAAGCCTTCATTTATTTGATCCAAAATACAGCAAAAACAGTAATATTGCGAAATATTTTTATTTCTATTTTAATATATTGTACAATGTAATTTATTCCTGTGATTTCAAAGCTGAATTTTTAGCATCATTACTCCAGTCTTCAGTGTCACATGATCCTTCAGAAATCATTATAATATTCTGATTTGCTGTTCAAAAAACATTTATTTTTTTAATTATTATTATTATTATTATTATTATTAATATTATGTTGAAAACAGATTAGATATTTTTTCAGGTTTCTTTGATGAATAGAAGGTTCAGAAGAAAAGCATTTATCTGAAATAGAAGTCTTTTGTAACATTATAAATGTCTTTATTATCACTTTTGATCAATTTAAAGCATCCTTGCAAAATAAAAGTTTCTATAATATTTAGGTATATAGGTTTGTTAAATCTAGGGTATTTAAGTCATTTTAAGATAAATAACATTCTGTGCTAACAAATTGAAATCAGGTGGTTGTTTTCAACGAGGTGGACACAGATATTTTGGGGAAAATGAAGAAAAGGGAAAGGTGCAGTGCAAGAGAGAACCTTTAATTGTTTTCCACGGCCCCAGACTAAGGATTTAGACCTTTTTTATGTGATGCCATACAAATAATAGGGTTGTCTGGTTTCAGAAATTGTTGTGGATGTATAGGCTATATACAGGAAATAAGGGGCCAAAATTGCACCTTTTGGGGTACAACAGCTTGTCACTGGAACAGAACCCTTAAAAGGACATATTCGTTACTTTTTTTAACTGTATTTCCATTACAGTTCCAACTACTACCCATTCTATAATGCTGTACAGTGACCGCAAAAATGTATTTGGACACTTAAAATGAATGAATGTAATTGCAATCTTTGTCATTACTTTTAAACGAAAATTATTTTTACACAGGTGTTCTAGCAAAGTGCCCTCACCCTCAGGCTATCAAGGCTATAGATGAATTAGTTTTTTTATGGGAACAGATTTGGAAAAATTTAGCATCACATCACTTTCTCAACAATGGATCTTTTGCAGTGAATGGATGCCTTAAAAACATCACAGTAATCCACACGACTTCAGTCCATTAACATCTTGTGAAGTCAAAAGCTTCATGTTTGTAAAAAAAAAATCCATAATTAAGAAGTTAAGTTTAAACTAAGGCTCCAGGTTAAACTACCAGTCCTCTATCCATAATATTGCTTTCTCCAGTGAAAAGGTGGTCTTGTCTGAATCAGAAGATAAATATGCACAGATCACACAGTGTTTTTAGTGCAAAATAGTTCTTAACAAATATGCTTGTGGATGTTGATGTGAGAGGACTACAGGGAATGGACTTTTTCACTGGAGGAAGCATATTATGGATTATGGACAGTATTTTGGTTGGAGTCAAAGCTTTTTTTTTCTTACAAACATGCAGCTTTTCAGCTTTCAAGACGTTAATTGATGGGTTGGAGTCGTGTGGATTACTTGGATGATTGTGATGTTTTTTATCAGCTGTTTGAAAACACATTCAGATGGCATTCATTCACTGTAGAGGATCCATTGGTGAGTAAGTGATGTAATGCTAAATTTCTTGAGATCTGTTCAGATGAAGAAATAAACTCTTTCTAGATTAATTAGCTATTGGCTGTATTAATGCTGTTTCTCTCTCACACTGTGTTTACAGGGGAGTGTTTAACTTCGGGTGATTCGGAGCCACAGTAATGTCAGTCCACACCTGTGAATCAAGACATTAGGCTACTGTTAACCGCTACATCCTCAGGGGAATCCAGCTGCTTGTCCTGATTTCTTTATTTTGATCCATGGATTTTGTCTCATTTTATACAAGGTATACAGAAACAATAAACACATTTTAGTCTCCCTGACAGTAAAAGATAATGGAAGTACAGTTAAAGACTGAGATATGATGTTAATGGAATAGTTCACCCAAAAACGAAGATTCTGTCGTAACTTACTCATGTTGTTCTAAACCTGTTTGACTTCTATGGAACGCTACAGGAGATGTTAGGCAGAAAGTTAATGACAGTCACATTTCTTTTTATTGCATATTTTTTCCATACAATGACAATGAAGGTTGACTAAAGTTGTTCTGCCTTTTGAGTTTCACAAAAGAATGACAGTCATCATCGCTTTTGACTTACTGGGAACAACACCAGAAACAGACACTGAGTGAACTACACACCTCTAATGATGTAATTTCAAAGGTGTAATGAAGTAAAATACAACATGCAAGAACTGTATATATATAGACTAATACATCATCCAGGTCAATAATTCAGCATTTTTAAATTATTTTGTTCAATTAAGATTAAGCATCATCTCTCCGTTCATACACGCTTTTGTTGGATGGCATTCTGCGCAAAACATTACTTACTTGTTTGATGCTTCCAAGACTATCACAACTCTTCTCATATTTTTGACAAAGCCT